AAATTCAACTAAAGTGTTAGTCAATCCAAAAATAATAAATAAAGGAGGAGGAGGAAAGAGTATTTGAATTTGGGTCAATCACCCAAATTCATCAAATTGGGTTTTGGCCCATCTATCCTAATTCTGAATTTATAACAAATGGACTTGGCCCCAGACTTGCTAAGCCTGTGGATTTATTCTGGGCCCTTTTGCACCTGTATTCCGTGATACACCAAATAATTTGGCATATACATTACGTATATGGCTATTTTTCACGTTGACGGTCCTGTATTGTATTTGAGTTCAACATCCCTGCACATTAAACCTGCGTATTCACGTTTTACACCCGTCTGTGGTATAACACATCTCTATACAAGTGTATACAGCTAGTATATCAAACTGTTCTTCAACTTTCGAAGGCTAAAAAATATTTTTCAAAGGTGTAAATTAGGTATATAGCATTTTATATAGTAATATTCTCAAGATATAGCATTAGAGTTTGTATTTCAATACATAACATTTAATACCTCAAGCTATAGCATATTATTATAAACTTAATGTTAATTTGAAATAATAAAAAAAAATTGTTTTAAAAAAATTGAATAAAAAAACTGACAAAAATGTAAAAATGGCATCCTTTATTACTAAATTAAATACAGTTATTAATTGGTGTTAATTGATTAACACGTTTTAAGGAAATTTAAAAAATATTCAGATTAGTTAGTTGCCTTAAATCTCTCAAATTAGTTTAAATGAGAATAAATTTTGATTTAATTCCTTAAAAAGCTCTAACAAATTGACATCAACGTACAAGCTGTTTTTTTTCCCTCCAATTTTCACTATTCTTTCATATTTGCAGCAGATATCAGTTCGTTTTTGTTTAGTAATTGAAGAAATTTTGACGTTGGAAATTGATTTGCTATGATGGAGAACATTGTGTCGATTTTAATTAAAATGGTGGAATGTGGAATTCATCAGGTTGTTTTTAATTATGATTTGTTGATTTTAATTATGATTTGTTGGGTTTTAACATGGAGAACATTGTGTCGATTTTTTTTTATTATTTTAAGATCTGATATAGATTATAGCTTGTTTTTTGGGATGAATTTGTGTTTTGGTATATATACCGTATCTGAAAAACAATTGTAAATGTATCTGTGTTTGAATTTTAATAAAATTGAAGATTCGCGTAATACTTGATTTATGAACAAAATATAAAAAATGAGTTTGATCGTACAGTGTATTTAGTTACTAGTCAAAAAATAAGTATTTGTAATTATGTGGGTCGTTGAAGTATGAAAGCTGTATTAATCGTGTATGAACCTTATATGAAACTTGTATTAATTATGTATGAAGTTTATTTTTTTGTTGAAATTAGAATATATGTTTCTGTTTGGCATATGAAGGTAAATGTTGATATAATTCTGTATGAAAACTGTATTTTTTTGTTTAGTTATTTTTTTTTGTTTAGTAAATTTTTTTTGTGATGATGAAAGTTATATTTGTTTTTTTGTGTAGTAATTTTTTTTGTTATTTGTGAATATGTGTAATATTAATGGAATTATTGGTGAAAAATAGTATATTGGTCGAAATATGAAATGCTAGTTTCTTTGTCTGTTTCTGATTTGTAAAGTAATGTTTGTATTTTTTTTGACATTTATAGTATGAAAGGTGTACTATTTTGATATTAAATATTTTTATTTTATTTTTTAACGACATATTTTTTTTGGAATTGTTTTTAATGAACATTAATTTTCCATATTAGGTAATACCATCGACAGTTGATATGTATGTTCTTGTTGAAGGACCAAAGAAGTACATAGTAAATTTAAATAAAAGGTGTGTAGTTACGGGAGATTTCACCATTATGAAATACCACGTGATCATGTAATTGCAGTTCTTAGATACAAGAAACTGCACGGAACATATTTCTATTCTGTCTTTAGTCGCCTGAAGAATTTCAGAGGTGCATATGTCATCCCTGTTGAACCTATCCCCTGCGAGAGTATGTGAGATATACCCAATTATATTTCAAATCCTAAATTGATGGCACCCGATCCAAGTAGATCAATTAGAAAATTGCATGTTGAACGTTTGAAGAAGTTTGCTGATGTGAAATTCAAAAGGTCAAAGGTTACTGGTAGTAAATGTCGTCAAGTTGGATATAACAGGAAGACATGTTAAAATTATCCTGTTAAAAAAATGATTTTATGATTTTTACTTTTTGTTGCATAACATGTTTTGTTTTATGGAATGAATTTGGTATAATTAATATTTTAGTAGTTGTGGTTTCTTAATATTATCCATATAAATAATACTGAAACACATTTTGTGTCCGTTTTCAAATTTTATTCGTATACTAATATATAGTTAAACAAGAATCGTACATAATTCATACAAAAAACATATATATGGAACAACTTTTTAACATATAATTGTACAGTAAAACTCTTGTTAAAATAGTTCATACATAGATCATACATAGTTCGTACAAAGTTCATACATATGGATCAAAAAATATATGATAGTTGTCATACTAAAACGATAATAAATCAAAAATGTGATATCATGTTCATACTAGTAGTAATCAGACTTCATACATATTTCATCGAGACAGTAATCAGACTTCATACATAATCAATAATGGAAGAAAGATTTATACAAAAAAGCCAACAAACTAGAAATGTAATGTCATGCCCATACAATTAGTAATCAGACTTCATAGAAAAAAGTCAACAAATTAAAAATGTAATGTCATGCCTATACAATTAGTAATCAGACTTCATACAAAAAAACCAACAAATTAAAAATGTAATGTCATGCCCATACAATTAGTAATCAGATTTCATATACACATCAATTTATATATCAATTCAAACATCATTCAAACACTAGTAATATGATTAATATCATATGAATTTTGTGTGGATTGATGTATTAGTTCGTATGACTTGTGTATAAATGTTGTATGAATTGATATATACATTGATGTATTACTGTTGTATGATTTGTGTATGAAAGTACCTTAGAATTTCATTTCATGCTTTGTGTATGAATTGATTTGGTTGTCTATTTATATGACAGCGTTTGGATTATGTTTTAATTGATATATAAATTGATGTATGTATGAAGTCTGATTACTAATTGTATGGGCATGACATTACATTTCTATTTTGTTGGCTTTTTTGTATGAATCTTTCTTCAATTATTGATTATGTATGAAGTCTGATTACTACTAGTATGAACATAATATCACATTTTTGATTTATTATCATTTTAATATGACAAGTATCATATATTTTTTGATCCATATGTATGAACTTTGTGCGAACTATCTATGATCTATGTATGAACTATTCTAACAGGAGTTTTATTGAACAATTATATGTTTAAAAAGTTGTTTCATATATATATTTTGTGTATTAACTATGTATGATTCTTATTTAACTATATATTAGTATAGAAATAAAATTTGAAAATGGACACAAAATGTGTTTCAATATTATTTATAGGTGGACAATATTAAGAAATCATAATTACTCAAATATTAATTATACCATTTCTATTCCATAAAACAAAACATGTTGTGTAACAAAAAGTAAAAATCATGAAATTATTTTTTAACAGGATAATTTGAACATGTCTTCCTGTTATGTCCAACTTGAAACCATCTACTACAAGTAACCTTTGACCTTTTGAATTTCACATCAGCAAACTCCTTCCAACGTTCAACATGCGATTTTCTAACTGATTTACTTGGATCGGATGCTCATTAAAAACAGTTCCAAAAAAATATGCCATTAAAAATAAAATAAAAATCTTTAATTATCGAAGTAATACACATTTCATATTATAAATGTCAAAATAAATAATATAAACATTACTTTACAAATAAAAAAACAGACAAACAAACTAGCGTTTCATATTTCATACCATATTAATATGTAATTTAGACAACTAACATCATGTTGACCAATTTTATACGATTTTTTCACTTACAATTTCATTAATATTACACACATCCACAAATAACAAAAAAAATTACCAAACAAAAAAATAAATATCATACAATCTTATAACACTCTTAATACAATGAATTAACATAGATTACTAAAAACAAATCAGAATACTATAACAAATACCAACATGACGAATCTCATCTGCCACCATGTTTAATTAATAATGATAAGTTATTGTCCATCAAAATAAATCACAATTTTTTCACATGAAAAAAACTCAATAAAAAAAAGGAGTAAAAATTCTGCAAACAGGAGAGTGAAAAATGTGATAGAGTAAAAAAAAGTAAAAAATCATGTTTTAATTTGATTTAAATTAGTTTGAGCATTTTAAGGAAACTGAATAATTTAAATCTTTTTTGAATTCCTTAATATGTGCTAATTTATTAATTATCCATTTTTAATTAAAATTAATTCAAATGCCACAATTGTGCTACTTACCAATTAATACATAAATGTGGTTTACCTTTTATTTTATTTAAAAATAATATAAAATTTAAATGTAAAAATAAAAATAATTATTTAAACTTATTAATTAGTATTTAAATAATTACTTATAGTTGGTTTTTAAAATATTTGGGGAAGATGAATTTTTATTTTTTTAAATATAGTGTGTGACGGTTTTTAAAAAAAGCTGGTATTGATTTAGATAGTGGTGGGTAGTTATTATAGAATGATAAACTCCCTATTATTTTGTAATTTTTTTAAAAATGTAACTATATAATGTTTAATTTAATTAATAATAGTTAAAGAGTTTTGTTTAAAAAATATAACTTAAAAAAATAATGTAATCAAATAATTTAATTTAAAAAAAAGGTAACTTAAAAAATCAATTTAATTAAATAGATTGATTTAAAAAAGGTAACTGAATAATAAATGTAATTATTTAAATAAATTAATTATTATTTAAATAATTAATGAGAATAATATATTTTTTCTTGATATGCTATAACTTCATAATAATATGTTATAAATAGTTTATCATCAAAAAGTATGTTTATAACTTGATATTTATCATCTGAAATGTGTGTGGAGTGTTATTTTTATTTTTCAAAGATATCTCTTTACTTCTATCAACTTGTATTTCGAATTTGTCCCCCTACGCGTGTTTTGACCTGTATATCGATGTATAAAACGAGTATAACAACCCATTTCCAAGCTTTAGAGGACCTGCAATTAAATTTCCAGCAATGTATTTGTTGTTTTCAAACTGTGCCAGATTTTCAGGGGGGTTTACGACTCGAAGAGGAATATTTTGAGCCTTTATGGCTCGATGAGAAAATGCAACGAGATGGATTAAAATCCAAGAGGACTCGAGGAGAGTTTCACATACAACAAAACAAAGGAGAGATGTTAGAAATCGAAAATAATTTTCACCCATACACAATATAATGATTAACAATAAATGGAAAGCATTAAAGAGGAAATGTATTTTTCACCAACACATAATCTAGTAGCTAACTTAAGCGGAAGACATACATGAATCATATGGTTTCAAACAGAGGGACCTCTTGACATTGTATGCCTATCATACACTTAAAGAAGAGAAATCAAAGTAATCGCTGAAGTTGGGATAGGCAGATTCATTCAACCATTCTTCCTAACTTAATAAAAAAACAAAGAGTATCAATATTAACTACATGGGAACTAAAGAAAGAAACCAGCAGCAGGGTCATTGGCAAACAAGATGAGAATCTGACCAAACTTATATATTTGAAAAACCAAACAGAAACAGAAGAGTTGATTGCAATACCAAACAAATTACATGTTACACTGCCTACATTAGTTCATTCCGGCCTAAACGAATAACTCGAGATGAGAAATGAATGAAAATTTTAGACGAGATGAACAAACAAGGGAATGACATATTTTGATCATACGGAAGAATGCAAAAGAAACAACCCATAAAACGACTCATTATAAATCGCAATGCAGCAAGCAGGGTCATAACATTTTCTGAACATGCAGCCTAGGCAGTATACGACAAAACACTTAAACGATCATGTAAGTTAAAAACATCCACGCAAGGTAGTCAAGGTGGATCAAAAAAAAGATGAGCATTTATCGCACCAAACTTAACAACTACGGAAAAATGGAAAGCAAACTATATGTGCGAACAATGAATGAAGGAAAGATCGATCAACGTAATTTATATGCTTCGAAAATTTCCAAGGAACTAAATAACATAAAAAATAAATACCAAAGTAATATTCATAAAACTAAGACCAGTAGACCCATTAATCCATTCGAAAGCTTTAAAGATGCTCAACAAAATGAAATAATAATCTCAAACAAGTTAAAACTTTCAATAACCTACAAAGAAGACTTAAAACTACTAACCATTACACTCGAAATGCAGAGGACGTGTAGACATAGGAATCGAACAAACAACAAAAGACATCATTCCAGCCATCCTAACAAATATAATTGAACGAGGACAAAGAACAAGAAGGAAACAAACTTTGGAGATTATAATCAAAGGGAAAAACTAAACTATTAATGAAAGGCATTCTAGACATAAATCACATAAAAGTCATGTTCTATGCCTCAACAATTGAAATATATCAACTCGGACAAAAATGACCAAGCGTCAATAGTAAACCATAGAAGAAAGAAGCATTCGAGCGAGGAAAAACAAGAGTCAACAGTAAACTTCTGATTACAAACCAAATGCCAGCTAAAACGAGTAAAGGTCAACATGAAGTTACCTTTTCGGGGGCAGCGAACAGGATGAAAGAGCTAAGCAATGACGACTTCGACCACACGAGTCCCGACTAGAGAAAAGTTTGACAAATTCAGGCAGAAAAAAAATTGAAAGCTATCTCTCCTCTGTTTCTTTTCTTTTTTCTTGAAGAGTATATAGTATGGGTTTTAGCTAATTTTTTGTTTAAAAAAATTCTCTCTGTTTTGTCACTCAACCCCCAAAAAACCTCCTTCAATTGAGAAAGAAGAGAGGTTAAAATAGGAGAAGATGAGGAAAAATTAGGGGGGGAAACCGACAGAAAAAAAAAGCCCCCCCCCCAACCCCAATTTGAAAATTTTTTAATCCCCTCTAAAAGGATAAGGTCAGCCTGCTATCAATTGTACCTCTCCCAACGGACAGAGAACGGAGGCCGCTCGATTTCTGAACAAAGGACGAAGGAGAAGTGAGATAGCAACACTTGGCCAATTCTAGTATGAGTGGGGGTCAGATTTGGGTTTGGGTCGCTGAGTTGCTTCTTGAAATACTGGACTTCGACTTTGCTGGGTTCCAAATTGGGAAGAAGAAGAACGATGCAGGGTTTGTTTACACTGGGTCTTTGGAGAATGGGTATTGTATGTGGGCTGGGTAATCTAGAAAATGAATGGGCTGGAGGAAAGAAAATAAAGGCCCAAATTTGGTTTTAAGACAAGCTAAATAAAATATTAAATTAGCCAAATCGAATTTAACTTGCGAATTCGACTAAAACTAAAATAATATTAATATTTATTAATAAACGAGCCTCTTAATCTTAACAAAACATAATCAAACTAATTAATTCGAAAATATAAAGTGTAATTTTAATAAACAAATTACTAAAATATTTAAATAACCAATATTTTAGATGATTTTTCAATATTCATAAAATATACTAATTAAATATAATCATGTAAGACATATACATTATAAAAATATTATAAAAAGTGACAAAACTATTTAAAATAAACTTAACAAACTATTTTTTGAATTTTAATGAACTAATTATTCTAATGTTGGGAATTAAGAAGCTCGATGATTAATTTATATGGTGGAGAGTAAAAATTGGGTGTCAACAACTGTCCTTCATTTTACTTGGATTAATGCAAGGAATTCGAGCAAAATGAAATTGATCAAGCCAATTTTGACCGATCACATATTCATCTTTTAGGAAAAGGGATTTGGTACGGACTTTAGGGAGTATGAGAAATGGGTTTCCTACATAACTCAGGCTCTATGAGAATTCAGGCCACTTGTAGTTCGACTCGATCGGTTGAAAAGAAAATTTGTTATGCTAGATAACCTTTGATTCTGCAAGAGTGACAAATAGGTTGAGTATGAAAAAAAGGCTTGTAATCTCTTAGGCATTGATGTGGTGCACTTCACACCCGTAGGCAAGAACTTACACGGACATAATTTCCAAACTCTTGGTGCACTGTCACTTGGATTGGAAACTTTATGCCGGTAGATCAAAGTTTTCAGACGCGAGACGGAAACTGGCAAAAACCAAAGAAAAACCCACATGCCTTATGATAGGGGTGCAGTTTGATTGTGGTGGAAGTCGCTCCTCTACTCGTGCCCTAAGAGTTTGACATTCCTCTTTGGACTGTGCCCCAGTTCGCTGCCTAGAAAACTTCCACGTTGTGTTGCATCCCTTTTGACGTGGTCCGCACCTGTGGTTTTTGGAGAATTCATCCTTTCGGATGCTCTCGACAAAGACTGAACTCGTCAGCTAAAAAATGCAATTATGATGGGAGACAGTGTCTTTTACCATGTCGACACTCAATTGTTCTCCTCAACATTTGACGTCAACTCGATCGGTCTGACGTAAAGCAAATAAAGTTTAGGTCTGGTGTTTGCAATGTAATCTCCAAAGTACTCTTCACTTGATGTCGAAATAAATAAATGTTGATGCGAAGCTGATATTTCTTTTGATGTCCATGCACTATTCATGCTGATGTCAACATAAATGAAAGATGATGCAGTGCTGACACTTCTCTTGATGTCAATGTACTCTTCATGTTGTTTACTTTAATCAGAATAAAGGAATGTAGTTGATGCCAACGATTAGATAATCCTCCTTGGATGCCCGATTACTTCTCCGGCAGTTAATGATTTCTTACGGGACATGAATATCTTTCTGTGATGCGTGAATTTCTGTGAGGTGTGAAATATTCCCGCGATGCATAATTTCTGCGAGGTATGAAATCTTCTCGCGACGCATAATTTTCTGTGAGGCATGAAATCCTCTCACGATGCATAATTTTCTGTGAGGTATGAAATCTTCTCACGATGTATAATTTGACTCGCGATGCATGGTCTTTCGCAGTGCATGAGTATTGACTCTCAATGCATGATCTTCCGTGATGCATGAGTATTGACTCACGAATCATGATCCCCTGCGATGAATGCGTATTGACTCGCGATGCATGATTTTCCGCGATGCATGATTTTTCGCAATGCATGCGTATTGACTTGCGATGCATGATATTCCGCGATGCATGAATATTGACTCGCGATGCATGGATATCACGTCACCTCAAATGATGATAACGGTAAAATGACTTCCAGATAGTATATCGTCTTGATCGATGATAAAATAATTGTCCCCTTTATGGAAACCGTAAACTCTTCCTTGGCATTTTCGTTTGATACTCCTTCGAATCTAGCTTGACATTCTTCATAAATTTCATGTTGTTGGAGATTGATTGAAATAAACAATTCATATTCCCAATTCTTTGATATAAGTGATATAAAATGATTACTGCTTCTAGAAAAACTATTGATTCTGGGATGGTTTTCTCCTCCTTTGACTTCTCTGTATTCATTCATCGGAAGAATTTGCCGATTTCAAGGCAAAGCTATATACCTGCGTCCACAGAAAAATTGTTAATTTTAAAAACGAACTGATTTGTGTCAATTTCTTCAGTTGTCTGCTCCTTGTCCTGCTATCTCCGATTTGTTTCCCGATCTCCCGACTCTTGATGGATGAGACAAAATATTTTATGCCTAAACAAATGAAACATAAAGGGAAAATTTTAAGAGAAATATTATCTAAAAAAAGTCACTTCCCAATCATGTCATGTCAGGCTTAACAAACTTCTTTGAGTCTGATGCTTGGAGGTCTATCTGATCATTTCATTGGAAGTTTTCGGAGTCACTCTGGACTTGTCGATTAACTCATGCTGAAATTTTGAGGCCATCCTCAAAATTTTTGTCCTAGTTAACTGTCCTGCTTATATTTTCACCGTAGCTGAGTAGATTGCGGAATTTTTGAGATCTTCTCAAAAGTTCTTTCCCAGTTGCAGAACCTCGAAACATCTTTAGTCTTGACTAGCTAAAGAGGAATCTTCTTCTCGAGAATTTTTGAGTCCCTCTAAAAAAAATTCGTCCCAGTTTCTATTGTAAAGAGGAATAGAAATCATACGAGAGATATGACCGAACCTTTGTGGTGCCTACGTATCCCGTTGAGGCAGGAATCAGGTCAAACGTAGTTCCCCTCTCAAAGGTTGGCAAAATAAGAAATTTAAGAAGGAACCGACCGAGGCCGACATAGGCCGCCTACGTATCTCATTTTTGATAATTACAGTCGAACGTAGTTCAAATACAAGGAAATACTAAAAAGGATAAATGGGGTGATTGAAGCCGACATAGGCCGCCTACGTATCTCATTCTTGAGAATTCAGGTCAGACGTAGTTCATTACAAAAGGGGCAAAATATTAAGCAAAACAAATACAAGCAAACAGAATGATTACAAGTAAATAACAGAAAGCAAAACAAAGCTTAACACGTAGTATCTCTTGACAGCATCCGAGTTGATAGGTTTAGGCCATATGGTGTCATCCATCTTCGACAGGACCAAAGCACCTCCAGATAATACTTTACGAATCATGTAAGGACCTTGCCAGTTTGGTGTGAAGCTTTCTTTGTACATGATGAGGAAAAATACGCTTAAGAACCAACTGACCTACTTCGAAAATTCTGGCTCTTACTCTTTTGTTGAAAGTCACGAACCATTCTCTTCCTATATAATTGACCATGACAGACGGCAACCATTCTGTTCTCATCAATCAAGGTTAGTTGATCAATCCGCTTGCTAACCCATTCAGTGTTACTTAACTCAGCTTCTTGGATGATTCTCAAAGACAATATCTCGACTTCAACAGGTATGACTGCTTCCATTCCATACACTAGCAAGTATGGCGTAGCCCCAGTCGACGTTCTGACAGTCATTCGATAACCCAATAAAGCATATGGTAACATCTCATGCCAACCTCGATGCTTGTCAATCATTTTCCTCAAAATATTTTTGATATTCTTATTGGCCGCCTCTTAGATCCGTTCATTTGGGGACAATAAGCGGTTGAGTTTCGGTGAGTAATCTTAAATTTCTCACATATATCTCTCATCAAGTGACTTTTGAGATTTGCACCATTGTCGGTAATAATGGATTCTGGTACCCCAAACATGCATATCAGATTTTTGGGAACAAAATCCGCCACCACTTTCTTGGTTACCGACTTGTAAGAAGCTGCTTCTACCCACTTAGTGAAATAATCAATGACAACCAAAATAAATCTGTGTCCATTAGAAGAGGATGGCTCTATTAGACTGATGACATCCATTCCCCAAGCTACGAATGTCCAAGGTGAACTCATACCATTAAGTTCGTGAGGTGTCACTCTGATTAAATCACCGTGCACTTGACATTTGTGGCACTTTTGCACAAATTTGCAACAGTTATTCTCCATAGTCATCCAGAAATACCCGGCTCGTAAGATCTTTCTTGACCAAATGAGTCCAATCATATGTGTGCCACAAACTCCAGCATGTATCTGTTCAATAAGCCTCGCAGCTTCGACGGCATCAACGCATATTAGAAGACCCAAATCTGGAGTCCTCCTATACAGGATTTCCCCACTCAAAAAGAAATTGAGAGCCATACGGCGTATCGACTACTTTTGGTTGGACGTAGCATCTTCAGGATAAGTTCCAGGCTCTAAATATGTCTTTATATCAAAATACCAAGGAAAACCGACTGGTTCTGCTTCGACATGGAAACAATGGACTGGATGTTCTTTCAACTCTATATCCAGAGGATCAATATAATCTGTATCCGGATGTTCAATCATCGAAGTGATGGTGGCAAGAGCATCGGCCAATTCGTCCTGTATTCTGGGGGTATGTCTGAACTCGATCTTACGGAATCTTTTGCACAACTTCTGCACATACTGTACGTAAGGTATAATCTTTGGGTTCTTCATAGCCCATTCTCCTTGAACTTGATGAATCAAAATATCTCAGTCTCTAATAACCAACAACTCGTAGACATTCATGTCGATGGCCATTTTCAAACAAAGAATACAAGCTTCGTATTCGACCATATTGTTTGTGCAATTAAATCAAAGCTTAGCCGCCATGGGATAGTGATGACCGGATTCTAACACTAAGACTGCTCCAATACCTTTACCTTGATGATTTGCCGCTCCATCAAAGAACAATCTCCAACCTAGATATGCTTCAGAAATATCCTCACCCACAAACGAAACTTCTTCATCGTGAAAATAAGTCTTAAGTGGTTCATATTCTTCATCAACGGGATATTCTGCAAGATGATCAGCCAAAGCTTGTGTCTTTATCTCTTTCTGAGTCACATACATAATTTCAAAGTCACTCAATAACATATGCCACTTAGCTAACTTTCCGATCAACATCGCCTTCTGGAAGATATACTTCAGTGGATCCATTCTGGAAATGAGATATGTAGTATAGGAAGACAAATAATGTCTCAGCTTCTAGGATAGCCACGTTAGCGCACAACACGTTCTCTCCAACAAAGTGTAACGAGACTCGTATGGAGTGAACTTCTTGCTTATATAATAAATAGTCGTTTCCTTCTTTCCTGTTTCATCATGTGGACCAAGTACGCATCATAATGCACTATCTGAGACAGACAAGTACAGCAATAAAGGACTCCCTTCTCGCGGAGGAACTAATACCGGTGGATTGGACAAATAGTTCTTGATAGCATCGAAAGCAGTCTGACACTCTTCAGTCCACTTTGTCGGGGCGTCTTTCTTCAACACCTTGAAAATAGGCTCACACACCATGGTTGATTGAGCTATGAATCGACTGATGTAGTTTAACCTCCCTAAGAAACTCATCACCTCTTTTCTCGTCTTCGGTGGAGGTAACTCTTGAATTGCTTTAATCTTAGAAGGGCCAAGCTCAATACCCCTTCTACTAACTATAAATCCCAGCAACTTTCCGGCTGGAACTCCAAAAGCGCATTTGGCGGGATTTAACTTCAAGTTGTATCGACGCAAACGATCGAAGAATTTCCTTAGATGTGTCAAGTTATTCGAACTCTCGCGGGATTTGATTATGACGTCATCCACATACACTTCAATCTTCTTATGAATCATGTCGTGAAATATGGTCATCATAGCTCTTACCGAATGCGCCAACCAACCTCTGGTGTCGGGCCTACGTGTGCCAACTCCATCTAGGAAACTACTACCTCGAGATTCTTCGGACCATATTTCCTAGTATCATCCCTATGTTCATTGCTATACCATCATTTGCTCTGTTATACTCAACGGACGAGGTAGTAGTAGATACAGCCATATATGCAGGTGGCACCAGCATTCTTGAGGCCGAACGACATCACTCTGTTATGATATACACCCCAAGGTGCAATGAAAGCCATCTTTTCTGCGTTTTCCTCATCCATCAGAATTTGGTGATAGCCTGCGTAACAGTCCACAAATGACTGCATTTCATGCCTTGCATAGTTATCAATCAGAATATGAATATTCGATAGCGGAAAATTATCCTTTGGGTTAGCTTTGTTGAGATCACTATCGTCAACGCAAATCCTGATTTTCCTGTTTTTTTTGGCGACCGGAACAACATTGGCCAGCCAAATTGGATATTGTGTCACTTCTACCAATCGGGACTCTATTTGCTTGGTGATCTCTTCCTTAATCTTCAAACTCAGTTCAGGCTTGAATTTTTTAGTTTTTTGCTTCACCGGATCGAACCCCGGGTTAATCAGCAGCTTATGAGATACGACATCGGTACTCAACCCTTGCATGTCACCGACTTCCCAAACAAACACATAAATATATTCAGCAAGCAAATGAACTAGGCCCTCTTTCTGAGCTTCATTTAGGTGGGTGCTGATCTTAACCTCTTTAACACATTACGGATCTCCCAAATTCACCGTTTTCGTTTCCTCTAGATTTGGTTTATGCTGATTCTCGAACTGCGGAATTCCTCGGTGACATAGTCTGGTTCCTCACTTTCTTCTTCATAATCGTCATCCTCGTCATCACCTGCCTTATTTTGTTCATTTAGCTCGTGACATGACATGGCATTGGCAGGTCTATAACTTATGTTACTGATATCATAAATAGATGAAATTAGGAAAGTAAGGTATAAGAAACAACTACATAGATAAAGTTAGAAACAAATAGGATTTCATTTAAAAACAATGCAAACTTTGGCCATGGCATCGGGTCATGTTGCCTTTTTTGAACATCACAATGAAAATTCAAAAATTTGAACGGTAAAGAAAATGCAAAATGGTGGGTCTCGGGCCTCTTCCAGACTACCACAAATTTTAATATGCATGAAATGACATCGAGGTATCAGGATCGGCATGGAGCTCCAGTTCCGCAGCACCTCCCCTGCCTCAGCATCGCAAATACCAGCTAGCTCGACCTTTTCCTCGACAGCAGCATCGATCTCCTTGAAGATTTCATAGATTCCTTCCCTAAGGTCTTCATGCTCGGCATACTCCCAGATTGTAAAGGATTGATACAGATGTGGAATGGGCTTAGCCAAAGCTTGATCATTTTTCTTCTTCAATTTCATGTCATCATCTGTGGGGATGAACACCAAACCATATTTGAATCCCTTAACGAGTACCGGAATAGGCTCAATAATTCCTTGGGAATCTCTTTCCAATCTGAACCCTGGCTCAAAACCATTCTGCAGCATCATAGTGGCTATCGTCTTGTACACAACAGACATCGGAGTCTGTGGGACCAAGTCTTCACCGGTGGCATTCACCAGCTCCACCGTGTAAAAGTCTGTACCTCGTGATATCTCATCAATGATCGGTACCTGTCTGCGAAGGTGACTCCCCTCGCCATGAATAACCAACTCTTCATTCTTCCACACGAGCTTCATTATCTGATGGAGAGTAAAGGGGACAGCTCCAGCCATATGGATGAACGACTTTCCCAGAATAAGGTTGTAACTGGTATCGATATCCAATACTAGAAATTGCACGCTGAATTCTATGGGGCCCATTTGAATGGTCAAATTCACTGCTCCCAACGTGTCTCTCTGAACCCCATCAAAGACGTTCACGTTGACCTGATTTTGCTCCAGTTTCCCAAGGTCAAACCTTAGCTGCCTCAATGTCAACAACGGGCAGATATTTAGACCAGATCAATTATCTACTAAGACGCGATTGACAACCTTTTCGCGGCATATCACAGTGATGTGTAATGCCTGGTTGTGAGACCTCCCATCGGCAGGAAGCTCATCGTCACAAAAGCCAATTCGATGCCCTCGAATAACCTGGTGAATCATGGCGGCCACATTATCGCTGCTTGTGCCCGCGGTTACAAACGTGTCATCGAGATCTTTCATTAAGGCCTTCCTGTGGGATTGAGAGCTCATTAGTAGGTCCCATATGGATAACTGAGATGGAGTCTTCTCCAATGTTTGACAATGGAATAATCCTTAAGTTGCATCCTTCTCCAGAATTCCTCCGCTTCTCCTTTGCTTATCGTTTTTTTGGCCTTATCCTTCTCCTGTCCTCCGAGAGCAAGCTCGTTAGGAGTGTAACACCTTCTAGAACTAGTCATGCCTTGAGTAGCGGCAGTTTCAATAATAAACTTAGGCTTGACGAGAGTCTCTGACGGTACCAATGCAACAACCTTTGCAGGTGTCAAAAAAACAAACTCTCTCTTCTCTTTGACGCTTAAAGAAGAGACAACCCTTTCCAAATCATAGTGAACGATGGGAGTAATCATCTTCTCTCCGCACCATTCTTCCTCTATCTCGATCATATTGACATTGCCGCCTCCATGATTCGGCAACGGGTTTGTGTTGACATTTGGTGCCGTTGGTTGGAGAGAGACTACCTCCTGATCAATCAGATCCTAAATTTTGTGCTTGAGGTTGATACAATCTTCAGTATCATGTTCAACACTGTTGGAATGATAAGAACATCTCTGGTCGGGTTTGTAGAACTTTGAATTGACATCCACGGGTTTGGGCGCCACATGGTGAATGTATCCAGCCGCAGCCAGTCTCTCATACAGTTTGGTCCGGCTTTCAGCAAGTTCAGTAAAGTTCCTTGAAGGACTCTTCTCAAATATGGGTCGGGGAGGGTCATAACTGCCTTGTTGAGGATGAGGCACCTGTTGATAATTTCTGGTATCTGGACGGGGAGCTTGGCTTCTGGGATATGGATTTGTTTGGTAGTTTGGCAATGGAGCTTGGTAATTCGGAGGAGGATTTTGGTATAGTGGAGCTTGGACTTGATAAACAGGAGGGAGTGCTCGGTAGCTCGACTGTATGTTAGCGCAGTTAGGAGCAACACCCAGGTAGGGAGATGGAATTTGGTAGGGTGGAGATAATTTGGGTAAATGGGAGATGGACTTTGGTAATTAAGGGGTGGACTTTGGTATACGGGAGCTTGGCCGTTCAGATAAAAGGAGGTAGCATTTTGATTATTGGGATGACTAGATGGCGTATAAAAAGATTGGTCGGACTTTGGGGAAGGCCGGGAACGACCTTGGGAATATGATGAGCTTCTGGGGGGTTTTACTCCCTCATATGAGATAGCAGCAACTTCTTCTCTTTTCTTTCTCAGCAAACCTGAAGACCCAGGTGATGCTGCTACACGGGCTATCTTTTCTGA